CACGATAATATCACCCATTGAATGTTGGGTTTAGCCTTCATATAAATTATTGACAACAAATGTTGTCTATTTGTGACATTAAATAGTTCTAATTTCAACATCAGTCAGTTTTTTTTCTTACTTTCATGAACAACTCTAACAGTCAGGCTGCATTTCTTATGCAAAGATACTTTATGGTGTAGAGATGGATCAAGCGAGCCGACTGACTTTGTAAATCTGGTTTAAAACTAAACTAGTAAATACGGATCAATGAGTTCATACCTCACGGTCAAAATAGATGACTTAAAGTCATGAATAATACAAGGTATGTACTTTTAAGAAGTACCGACCTAGGGAAAGGGATTTTCAGTGCTACTCAATTTTTGTATGCCTTTACTTGGTTTCACCCGATCGAAGCTGCTACCTTGACGCGGTGGTCGGGCTTGCCTATCGTGATGACCCAACCGAGCTATATTGGCTGGAACATATGTTCCTGCAGGTTCTACCATGCCAGGCAGGTCGATTGGTGAACGGTAAGACTAGAAGCAGCAACTCAAGGTCTGAGGGCGAAGTCGTACTGCTGACTGTAGAGGGGTGTGACAGCAGTAAGGTGTTTCCCTCGGACATCCAGCATGACAGCGATGCTGCCTTCCCACAAGGAGGGGTGGGGTTAGAAAAGGTCGACCCTAAAAATGCACACCTCACCTTACCTCACGGATTTCCGTCTCCGGCGGTAAGGCCCCTTGAAGAGCGGAGCTAACACGTCAAAAACCTTCCACAAAAAGGCCGTGCGCGACCGGCTTCAAGCAGTTGTCCCTTGGGCTCTGCGGTCACGCTCCCAGGTCGTCAAGACCAACACTAATCCAATTTCCTTTTCAGGTTCCTCAAGAAATACCCTTCCACGGTGTGGGCAGCCGGGAAGTGATATCAGCCCTCATACCCGTGACAGCACAAGAGACCAAGGTGGTCATATTCAAATCTTTCCTACACCTTCTAATACCTCTCTTATCTCCCCGACTAACCCTCCCCACGTCTCTTTATCACCTCGCACCGCTAGGGCAAACGATTCGAGTACATGGAACGCCATTCCTGGTCTCCTGAAACCACGCTCTAAACTACACGTAGGAGCTTTTAACGTACGAACACTTTGCCAAATAGGATATCAGGCTTCCTTAGCTAAAACTTTAGAATCTCGCGCCATCAATGTGTGCTGCGTCTCCGAAACGCGCATACAGGATCCAAGTAGCGTCATTCATTTGACCTCACCATGCCAAAATAAAGAACCGACTCGATTTACGCTTCGTGTATCTGGAAGCCCTGATTCTGCTTCCCGTGGCCTCGCCGGCGTAGGTATAGCATTGAGTCCTAGGGCAGAACTAGCTCTCTTAGAGTGGATCCCAGTAAACAGTCGTTTGTGCGCTGTCCGACTGAACGGAACAGTAAGAATCCGGAAAGATAGGGACACTCGTCGTTGCCTCTTCGTCGTCTCTGCCTATTCTCCCACTGACTGCAGCTCAGATGATGTAAAAGATGAGTTTTACAGAAAGCTTTCAGACCTTCTCCGAAAAGCTACGCGCTCTGATGTAATAATAGTGGCTGGTGACTTTAATGTTCAAGTAGGTAAACTAAGCGATAGGGAAAGACACCTAGGTGGATCTTATGGTGTCGTGGCTCAAAGAACAGATAATGGCGGCCGTCTGTTGCAGCTATGCTCAGATAACCGCCTGTTCCTTGCAAATACTAACTTTAAACATGAGGAAAAACATCTTTTAACATGGAGACCCCCTAATTCGTCCCAACGTTGGACCCAAATAGATCACATCGCTATCAGTCACCGATGGAGGGGCTCGATAGAAGACTGTCGCTCATTCTGGAGCACATGCTTAGATTCAGATCATGCTCTAGTGCGAGCGCGTATTTGCTTGCGTCTTACTGGACGTAGGAAAGACGCTGCAGGGAAACCTCTTAGGGGCCTACTTAATGACAGTCAAGCTAAGAGTATATTTCAGGAACAACTAGGAAAACAGTTAGGCAGCCATGTATGTGATGCCCACCCCGAGGCAGCATGAAATGATATCCGAAAAGCTGTGGAAACAGCAGTGATATCTGCTAGTAAGGTAAACCAGAAGGTTAGGGAGCAACACTGGATCTCAAAAGCATCTATCTCACTGATAGATGCTCGGAAACTCATTCCACCTGGCTCTGAACATAATGAAGAGCGGAGTCAGCTTAAGCTCAAGCTGACAAGAAGCCTACGCAATGATCGCGAACAGTGGTGGGTAGCGAAAGCAAGAGAGATGGAAAAGGCAGCGGCAATAGGTAATAGCAGACAATTGTTCAGACTCGTTAAGGAAACCGGAATTAGGAACCCGACCGTTAGCGAAACAATCTCAGAGAAAGATGGACATATTATTTTTTCTCAATCCAGGAGATTGGATCGATAGGCAGAACACTTTAGGGATCAGTTCAAATGGCCTTCATCCACACTTCGGTTTCCCACGATCTCTAGTCAACCTGAATGGCAAGTTAATGTAGGTCCTCCGTCCCTTTACGAAGTTGAAAAAGCCATAGGAAATCTTAAACGAGGGAGAGCAGCAGGCCCTGACAGGTTTGCTCCTGAGATTTTTAAGGATGGTGGTCCAGTATTAGCAATGAGATTAACCGAGGTCTTAGGTAGAATTTGGGAACTGGACGTAATCCCATCTGACTGGTCTCAATCGCTGATTGTGCCAGTCTACAAGAAAGGACAAAAGTCCTTTTGTGACAATCACAGAGGAATCAGTTTGACTAATATAGTGTCTAAAATATTAGCTTCAATAATACTTCGACGCCTAACTAAAGCTCGTGAAGAGCAGACTGGAGAAAATCAGGCTGGTTTTCGACCTGGACGTGGTTGTATAGACCAGATATTCACACTACGTCAGGTTCTAGAACACAGACACACATTCAGACGCCCCACAATGGTAGTATTTCTCGACCTTACGGCGGCATTCGACTCTGTTGATCGTGAGGTTCTATGGCAGTGTTTGTCACTGAAAGGAGTACCAAAGAAGTACATTAACCTTATAAAGGCTCTCTACTCGAACACAACTGGTCGAGTGCTTATGGCGAACTGTCATCAGAATTGATTACCTCAAGTGGTGTTCGCCAGGGCTGTCCACTCTCCCCATTCTTGTTCAACTTTGTGGTCGACGTACTTTTAGAGATAACACTCTCCTCATCTAAATTTCCAGGGGTTGAACTTCTACCGGGTGGTTCACTTGTTGACTTAGAATATGCAGATGACATAGTTTTATTTGGCGAAGACGCTGACAAAATGCAGAGTCTTCTGACCACTCTAAGCAACAATGCAAGCATGTTCGACATGCGATTCTCTCCCTCGAAATGCAAAATGTTGCTTCAGGATTGGGTTACATCGACACCCGAACTAGTGATAGGGAGTGAAGTAGTTGAGTGTGTCGACCGCTTCACTTATCTTGGAAGTCTCATCAGCCCTTGTGGTCTGGTGTGTGACGAAATCTCAGCACGGATACAGAAGGCTCGACTAGCTTTTGCCAACTTGCGTCATTTATGGCGTAGGCCAGATATCCGTCTATCAACCAAAGGACGTGTTTACTGCGCAGCAGTTCGTTCCGTCCTACTTTATGGCAGTGAAACATGGCCGGTAAGAGTAGAGGATATCCGTAGGCTACTAGTATTTGATCATAGGTGTCTTCAAAACATTGCTCGTATATCATGGGACCATCGAGTAAGTAACACAAATGTTAGGAAACGGGTACTAGGTAAGGATGGCAAATCAATTGATGAAGTAGTGAAACTTCATCAGTTGAGATGGCTGGGACACGTGTTACGTATGCCCAACGACCGACTGCCTCGACGTGCTATGTTCAGTGGTATAGGAGTAGGTTGGAAGAAAGCTAGGGGCGGCCAAACCAAAACATGGCACAAGTCCATGAAGTCACTGACAAGTGGACTGAGTCATGTTGGTAGGTGTAGACTACCTGGTTGGGGACCGCGAGATGATAGCAACCGATGGTTAGAGACCCTGAATGACATGGCTCAAAATCGTTTGCAATGGCGCAGGTGCATCCACTCTCTGTGTTCTCCCAAATTCTAATCTTCTGAATTCTTAATGTCCCTTTTTTTCCTCTTTCCAAATTTATTTCACTGGATTATACTCTTTAAATAACATCTCCAAACCCTAATCTTCCCGATTACTGCTTATACTCTTATTACCTCTACCACTATGGGATTTGAATCGACAAGTGCATTTCTGTGCTAATGTGGTGTGGCAACTCGAACTGATGTACGTACGTACGAAGTTCTACGTTGTTACTGACTGACTGACTGACTTACTTGGTTTCAAATCGTAACAAGAACCCCCTTCAAACGACACAAGATCTGTAAAAACACTTTTAGAGATTTTCAGAGGCTACATTGTGAAATCATGAACTGTCAAACAAACTAAGATGAAATAGCAAGCAACCTGTGACACAGGATGACGAGTGAGGTTTTCGGTGTATCATATTATCTCTACTGTTCACATTATTGATGTGTCAATGAGAATAAACAGATTTTCTTGAGTATCTATTTGGGGCCTGTGAGATCCGATAGTAAGACAGGAGAGCAAATGCCTTGATCTAGTCTGAGTATTGATTAGTTCGCCTAGACTTTCTATCCGGTACCAATGATCTTCCAGTAATCAATGATACGTTAAATACGAGGTAACACCCAATTGTAACAATAAATAATAATTGGTCCGGAGTGCAGCTTTCTGCACTTGTTCACCCTCTAGCCGAATAGAGAACAACTCACCAAGCAGATATTGTCTAACTATGCTAACTATGATAGAACCATTTTAACTTAGTAAATATCAATAGAGGAGTCCCACAACAGGACGAAACGGTGGTTCAGTGATTCTATGTTTTCCATGGTGGTCTAGAATTAGTTTATCAGAATACTTTCACTTATTATCAAATGTTTAAAAGAATATCTTTTTTTAAACTTCCTTTTATTTATAGACTTCTCGAAAAATGTACAATCATCATTCAAAAAACTTGGAGAGGCTATATAGGCCGTAAACAATATCGGCTTATATTATCTAAAACTGTTATAGAATATCGACGAAATAAATTTAGTAAGGCTGCAGCAAAAGTAATCCAGTTAATTCTGTTAAGATCAATAATTTATCTGTTTATTTTTATTCTATGATAGATTCAAAGTGCGTGGAAAGGTTATTTAACCCGTAAATATATATTCAACTTTTATTCACGTAAAGTTTATCTATCTGCACTAGTTGATGTAGGAGAATTTGTCAAGTAAGAATTTTGATCATTACCGAATATTTTACTTGAGAATTAAATGTATGCATGATATCTGAAGTCTGTACTGATGATGTCGTTCAGAAGGACGATGAAAGCTCCACGACCAAACCATCCAGCTGAAAGAACAAAACTTCATCAAAAAAAACTAAATGTATGCAAATATTTCATATCATGAACTGAACTCCATCTGACAACCACTGAAATAATAAAATATTGATTACTAACTTAATGATTTAAATGTAGCACAGTCATCATGATACCCCAATTATCATGGACTAATCGCTGGTGGTGTGAATTTCAGAAGGGCCTAATAGTATGGCAAAACCACTATCTAGTACTCCCTGATTTAAATGGTTGTCTAATTAGAGTCAGGTCATGATATTAGTGATTTTAAAGTAATTAATTCTCGATAATGCTCACCAAATATTTCAAATAATAAACTAGAAATCAATTGTCTGAATATGAAAAAGAAATGAAATATGTGGAACGTAAAGAAAAGCAAGAAAAAGAACGAGACAGAATAATTAATTGGGCGAAATCACATCATTTTCTGGTTTCAACATGTTGTCAACCAGGAATATATCAAAATCCAATGGATAAAACGTAAGTAAATCATGATATGCTATGATATTACTTCTGCCTTATAAGTAGCATGGTTATATTCAATGAATGAAAATAAGTTCGTGTTTAAACTATGAAGATACAGCAATTTCCACAAAACCCTATACTGATGATAATCATATGCTCGTTAATGACTCATTTCAAAATTCAACTCCTGAAGTTCTACTGAAAAGCCGTGACCGGTAAAGTTCAACTATATTTAATGTGAGACAGTTATTTATCCCAGGCAATGGATAAGAGTTCAGTAATTTCTTGAATTGATTAAACACCCGGCTCAGTCGCCAATAGATTAAGAGTTCGAGCGCAAGATGAAAGGTCTTGATTTCGATCCGCTGAGGTGGGATCATGAATTTTCATTGCTCAGTCATCATACTTGGACAAAATGGCCGTTCAGTGCTTTCTGTTTTTGAATAGTAATCTAATTCACATCAGTTTGTGATTTAAACTATAAATATTCACTAATTATTCTTAACGTCATGAAGATACAATTAGGACTGCATTCCTTCTATTATGATTACTGAAGATGGAATAACAACTTTTCTTAGCATAACAATCCTGAAATCAAGTAACTGATAGTTAGTATAATCGAAGTATGAATGATTAGTGATAGAAGTTAGTGATATAGTAGTATGAAGTTTAGTTGACATTCTAAAAGTTTGTGTCAGTACTAATAAAAAGATGTATTCTTTAACTTACATTAAATCTTCAAAAGCTTTGATATCTATTTACGTCATTTTGTTAGTTCAATTACATTAATAATTTGAACGAATCATCAAAATTTCGAACGTTTTCTGTATTCTACCAACAATAAGTAATTTTGACATATAGTTGTTGTATATTTTGATAAATAAGGGAAAAGTATTTCATATATATGTATACTTATTTTGTTAGTAAATATATTCACTGCATAAAACGCTCCAATATTCTATGTAATTCATCGAGGCTTTAGCTGATGTTGATCTTTTGTGAAAATCACTTATAACCTATAAATATATGATAACATAAAGTAATTTTGTAGCGAACGAGAACATAAGTGTTTAAACATAAGTATTTGAACACAAATTTACAGAACATCTTACTAAAATCTGAGAACCATACAGTAATTACTTAATTTGCAAAATACCAATCCATTGTGACTAGATGGTGGTTGGAGGTAGTCAACAGGAAACCCTGGACCTGGGTTTCGTGCTACTTAGCACTCATCAGCAAGGTGTACGTGCAATCTTGAGGGAAATGATACTCCCTGACGGATTCGATCCCGTATCACCCAGTTTCAAAGTCACAGACATTACCACTGAGCTATCTGGGCCGCGACTGAACTCCTGTAGGACTGAGATGTAATCAGATTTGATTGATCACTGGGTGGTGACCAATCAATGTCATGTGTGTCAAGTCCTTCTTAGTGCAGATCGAATGCTATCAACCAAATCACATAAAATTCAAATACTCTATATTCTCAATTACTCTCACTAATTCCTAGTCAATATTATTGTGTACTGTGTGTGTCAAGTCTAATCTCAACATAGTGCACGCATTGTCAAGTCACTTAGACTGGTGGCCACATTGTGACCTCGTCGATAGTATTCGATCTGCACTGATAAGAATTTGACACACATGACATTGATCACCACCCACTGATCAATCAATTGTGACCAATCCATTGTCTCAAACTTGACTGTTTCCTTAGCAAATATCAGTCCATCATCTCAGATTTCATTGTTCCTGCATATTTATACTAATTGCTTTCGGTTCACGTTCTTTCCTTGTCAATCTACTGCAAGACATTCTATTCCTCACTATCGTTACATACTACTTATTTGGATATAAGTAACCTACACCGTAATTTGAGAAAAATATTACTTGTGATCGACTTTATTTCTACAAATTACAAAGCAATAGTCATAAGCATAACCATATTGACACATTTTGATTTTTATTCAATGATGACCAAATTATTTACTTTAAAGAATATAATAGCAAGATTTTCTTCTTCATACAACATATTTTCTGTATCTATTGGATAATTATTTCACTGGTTGAAATCGTGAGTCAATTGAAGCTAGACCACCATGGAAAACCTGGAAGCACTGGACAGCTGGCCGTTTCATCCTAGCGCGAGACTCCTCAGGAGTGTGCAGCCACGATCCCGCACCCCGCGAGACTCGAATCCAGTCTTGAGCCAGGCCCTTAACCAACTAGACCACTGAGTCAGCATCCAACGGTGTTAATGTCTAACATCAACCAATCCACGAAGTTGCGCCACCGCACACCATTGTCTTCAGTGAGTTACTATCTCACAACAGACCTGGTTGAACTCCACTGGTAATGGCTTCTCACCAGAACTCCAGGAGTATCTCTTGAAGTCAGTCACTAGTGAGCAGATGATCGAATCTCGCGGGGTGCAGGATCATGGATGCGCACTGCTGAGGAGTCCCATACTAGGATGGAACGGCCATCCAGTGCTCCCAGGTTTTCCATGGTGTTCTAGCCTCAATTGACTCATGATTTCAACCAGTGAAATTTCTAAAATCCCCACAAACTCCTTCTGAACATAATTATTTCTCAATATTTTTTTATTAAAACGAAAACCAAAAAAAATCAATTACATTTTCATTTTGGTAATAGAATAAATGACAAAGAGAAGCTTCTATTATCAGTAGTTCATCAAGAATTAATTAAAACTAACAATAAACAAAAAAAGAAATTATCAACAGAACAAACATTATATCAAATAAATTCAATGAATAAAGAATTGCCAAAAATCAAAGGTCCATTTAAAAATCCAGAAGAAGTGAAAAAATGGATAAATAAACCAATAAATTTATCATTACGTGTATCAACAGATTATTTTTCATTAGAAAAATCTCAACAAATTTGGAAATCTAAAGAATGGAGTAATAGATTACATGATAATAAGTACGTTACAAGGATTATTTTTCTAACTAGACATAGTTGATAAGTTTTGTAAATTGAATGTTATATTCGTTTACTAAACTATTCTGTAACCCTCAAGCTAGAACTATACAGCGATCTGAAGAACGAGAGAGAAGATGCAAAGTATGCGGGAAGTACTTTACTCCAAGGTTCACGAAATATAGGGTTTTTATAATATTTTTAAATGTCCTTGGGTTGCTTGAAGGTTCTGGAATGCTACTAAATATAGTATCAGTGTAGCAATCAGCCAATCAGAACCTGTGCATGTGACGTTTCATTTCCTTGATAAAACTTCAAGTGAACGCTGATTGGATGAAATGGAAAAATAAAAATGGATACTTCTACATCATTTTGATCGGTTTTAATTCTTGTTACACATTTTCAACTATTGACTGACATAATTGTTCAAAACCCAATCAAGTAGTCTGTAAATGGAATGCTAGTGATTGTTAGTCGTGTCTACATCATGAAACAATAAGTACACGAACAACATAGCGTGCTATACAATATTCACAAGACAAAAAGTCAACACACTTAAGCATTTTGAGCACTAGCTGAGTAAACATTATCTGTCGCGCATTTATATAAACCATCAAATCATATATATTACAATTTGAACGTCTTGACTAGAATCTATACCTGATTCCTTAAGAAAATATTGAACAACTATGAATATTTGGTAGTTATCAATTATCAACAGACCATGTTGAACATGATTCTTGGTTACTCCGTCAATTGGCTTCCAAGTACCCTATATATATATATATATATATATATATATATATATATATATATATATATATATATATATATATATATAGGCGGAAGGTTTCCTTATTGAAATGATAATTGTTAGTTAGATAATTTTACTACATCTAGCACTACGGGATTTAAATCGACCACTGCATCTCTGTTCTAATGTGGTGTGGCTACTCGAACTGATGTACGTACGTACGAAGTTCTACGTTGTTACTGAAATGAAATGAGATAAAATGACTTGACACAGTTCTATATATTCTTATGTTAATTTACATTTTTTTATTGTTCATTAAATTAGTTTCTACACTGGTCATCCACCATCAACACCATATGAACGTTCATTATGGACAACATCTGTGTACGGTTCAATACCATATGGTACAAAACATTTTCGTGCGTCAGAAGATGAAAATAATTCAGCAATACATAAACAACCAAAATTTCGTAATATATTACCACCGATTCCATTATTTGACAAATTTAATAGAGAGTATATACCAGGTTATGCAACAGGATGATTGTATAAAAGTATGTGTAACAGTAGTCTTGATATGAACTAATCGATTGAAGTTTCTTTTAAAAAAATAATAAAATGATTGAAATTCTAAATATCTTTTTCAATTCTTTAATTAGATCATGTAATCAAGGTGATATAGTTTTGATGTACAATTCACTAAAACTACTTAATGCCAGCGTATTATGTTATGATAGTCAAAATATTTTGAGAATTGAGTTAGTTGTTCACCCCTACATCTTATGTTATATGTGATTGATGTGTGGGCAAGAATGATAATGATTGGTTGTTTGCTTAGTCAGAAATGTAGATAGTCTGACAGGTGTCAGATGAGTTATATATTCCCCTATCCTTATTATTAATTGTTCATTGTTGTTGGATTGTGTCGTGTTTTTGGTGTGGAAATATATATATACGTTGTAGTCAAGCTGATCACGTGTTTTTGATCTGAGTTATGTTGAAGTCTTGTAGAATAGACACTAGGAGGGAATCTAGTGTAGATATTCATCTAAGGTAAATTAATGTCCCATACATGTAAACGTGGAAAACCAACCGTTATAACTTTAAACTAAGCTAAACCGAGCGTTATGACAGTGATAATTGGTTTATTCTCTGCAGATGCTATGTTTTATGATTTGTAGAGATTTTGTAGACCTATGATGCAAAAAATATTTATAAAGACTAAAAAAACAGATTTTAATCCCCGAAAAGTTATTCATGTAGGTTAAGGCTATCAGCTTACTGGCTTCTGTGTTTGATTTTGTGCTTAGTGACAAGTTTTGTACTTTTGTATATACATTATTTTTAAAACTATCATTGTGATACTTCATTTGTATTGGTTATTTGAATCTTCTCATTGATGATTAGGACTGTAATTGATTAGTCCTAAGGTGAACGCCAACTCGGGGATGCAAGACGAAATGCTCGTCCTGAACTCCACTGCTAGCCAACGCCCATTTCTACCTATATCATTATGATAGTTTAATCCTAACCACGTATTCAATTTCTTTTTTGCTTTCATAATGACAATTACCATACTTCCTATATCAAAGTGTATTTTTTTTTAGAATTCGAACATGAAATAATAAATGTTCATTGTATACTAATTGACTACTTAATAGCAATCAATAATGTGTATATCTGATGCTAAGTATAAGTCTAATTTTATCAATGTCATTGGAATATTATCATAAATCTAAGTGAACTAATTATAATATTGGGTTAAGCCAACTCCAAATTTTTCAAGAAATATTGTAGCGAACGAGAACACAATTGGACACGATCGAATATATATGAACACAAAATTACAGAACATCATAGTAAAATCTGAGAACCATACAGTAAATAATTCGTTTGCAAAATATCAACCAATCGTCTCAGACATTGTTGTTTTTTTCGTTTCCACACCAATGATTCTCTGTTCTCTTTCTCCTTTTTTCAATCATCTTAACCTTCTGCCGCCAGGTATTTCACTTCCGATTTATGATACATACTACTTTTATCATCGACATCAGTAGCGCACGCCATAATATCACTTCTCTATTAGATGATGGTCGGAGGTAGTCAACAGGAAACCCTGGACCCGAGTTTCATGCTAGTTAGCACTTGTCAGCAAGGCGTACTTGTAATCTCGAGGGTGACAGTGCTCCCTGACGGATTCGATCCCGTGTCACCCAGCTTCACAGTCATAGACATTAACACTGGGCTATCTGGTCCGCAACTGAACTCCTGTAGGACTGAGATGTAATCAGATTTGATTGATCACTGGGTGGTGACCAATCAATGTCATGTGTGTCAAGTCCTTGTTAGTGCAGATCGAACCAAATCATATAAAATTCAAATACTCAGTATCCTCAATTATTCTCACTAATTGTTAGTCAATATTATTGTGTATAATGAAAAATCTGTTCAAACGAATAATTCTCAGTATATGAATTAACCAAAATCTAAGGATATATATTCTTTAAAAATGGTAATCACCTATACTACTAACGAATTCAATAATTTCGAGTACAAATAATGGCTACACGGAGAAAAAAAGAGAAAAATAACTGTTACACTTAGAAACAAATTATTTCCGATACTTAAAAAAAGAAAAGCTCATCATCAAATTGATCACAGACAATAAATAGACTTTATGAAAATTAAGAGTTTTAACTCTTAATAATTTAGTTACTAAATGAGATTACTCAGTAATCAAGTGATAAGGAAAGAATAGAAATTTTGCTTTTCAATGAATTTATTTACGTAAACTATACATTTATATTCATCTTCCCCCATTCCTTCTTTATTCTTTGATTGTTACGTGATCTTATTTGATAAATAAATTTTCGGATGCGCACTGCTGAGGAGTCCCTAATAGGACGAAACGGCCGTCTAGTGCTTCCAGGTTTTCCATGGTGGTATAGCTTTAATTGACACATAATCTCAACTATTGAAATTAATGTAATATCTACAAAACCCTTCTGATATGAATTAACATATGCTCATTAGTGACTGGCTTCAAGAGATATATCCTGGAGTTGTAATGCGTAGCACTGCCCAGCGGAGTTCAATCAGGTCTATTGTGAGATAGTAACTCACTGATGACAATGGTGGATGTGTCACGCGATTTCGTGGATTAGTTGAAGTTAGATATTAACACCATTGGATGCCAGCCGGCTCAGTGGTCTAATGGTTAAGCGCTCGCTCGCTCGCGAATCTCACAGGCCCTGGGTTCGAATCTCGCCGAGGAGGCGGGATCGTGGATACGCACTGCTAAGGAGCCCCACAATAGGACGAAACGGCCGTCTAGTGCTCCCAGGTTTTCCATGGTGGTATAGCTTCAGTTAACACAATCTCAACTATTGAAATTACTAGAATATCTACAATGACCCCTTCTGATATGAATAAAATTTCAATTTACAAAATAATATTTACTAAAAAACTTTCACACATACATCGATAGAAACATTTATACACATTATAATATACATGAATTAAAGAATAATTTATAAAGAAAAAAATGTTATGGAAAATAAAACAAACAATACAGTAAAAAGATATCTATATCTGTTATTATCATTATCATTATTAATAATAATTAAATATATAAATAAATGACATTGAAAATTGAACATTGAATTCAGTATCACAATGATCGATTTGTTTGTTTTTGTTGTTGTTGTTGTTTTAGTTTTCTTTTCTTTGTATACACGATGATTACTATATAAGATCTGTATATTGAAATGGGAAACAATTGAGCTTTTTTTTTAAAAAAAAAGAAGACGATCCAACATGTCTCTTTTTGTCTTGCGCGCGCACTCGCTTACTCTCTGTATTCTAGTTTTAAGGATATAATCTTGAAATAGAATTAGAGTGAATAGTTAAACAATGTTAAATTATATAAATTCTTTTATTCAATTCATATTGGTTACTAAAATAAAATAGTAGTAGTAGTAGTAGAAGTAGTAGTAGTAGCACTATCAGTATTAGTGGTAGTAGTGTCAGTGTTAGTAGTAGTAGTAGTAGTAGTAGTAGTAGTAGTATCAGTATTATTATTATTAGTAGTAGTAGTAGAAGTAGTAGTAGTAGCACTATCAGTATTATTGGTAGTAGTATCAGTATTATTAGTAGTAGTAGTAGCAGTAGTAGTAGTAGTAGAAGTAGTAGTAGTAGTAGTAGTAGTAGTAGTAGTAGTAGTAGTAGAAGTAGAATTAGTAGTAGTAGTAGTAGTAATATCAGTATTAATGTTAGTAGTAGTAGTATTAGTAGTATGTTTTCTTTGTACAATAGAATTAGATTTACAAATTATTCATTATTTAGTCTGTAATATGTGTATGTATTAGATCCCTGAACAAGAAATAATGATAATAATAATAATTGTCATTAGTAATAACAATAATCTGAGAGGATAATTAAAAAATAAAACAAGTTTGTTGTTAGTACTATTATAACATGTAAAATAAAAATGCATTTCTTATCACACTTTAATGTACTTCAATTGACATAAGAATAAGAAGAAAAACTTTGAAAATAACAAAAAAGAAAAAGAAAAAAAAGGAAAATTAAAATCTTGTCAAAAGATTATTATCATTTAAAGTGTCAACATTATTTTCATATAACCTAGGTACACTTAATGCATTCGGATTAATTTGTATAGGATTAGGCATAGTAACATGATTTGTTAAAGAATATCTTTTAGAATTATGAATTGTATTATTATTATTATTATAAATTGTTGGTATAGTAGAAGTATTAATATGGTTTGGATTAGTTGTTGTCAATGTGCTTGTATCCGATGAAACTACATTATAAACACTTAAAATGTTAGTTGGTTTATCATCATCATCATCATCATTATATGTCATGGATGGTTTATTAGTTGATGTATTATTTGGTAATGAATACATTGACTTATCATCTATTTGATGGCTTTGTAATTCATCAACGATTTGGTTTGTATAATCATAGATATTCTGTAAACAAAAACAAAAAGAAAAGAAATAAAGAGGAAATTGAGGGATTATTTATCATGTAAAAATAGACTCGAAAATCCTTAGTGAAATGAGTTGGGTTAGCTTGATGATTTTCATGAAACGAACCACATAACAAGCTTCTACAGATGGATTCCTTATTAATAGAAAGAGGAATTTATTTATGTCTTGTCAGGTAAAGCCAATGAATTTGCAGTCATGATATCATAGACGAAAAATCTACCCCTGTAAGAAAAAAATACTTGAGGAAAATTAGATGTCCGTCGAGATTTGTTGACGAGAATATGAACATCAAATCTCCAAAATAATCAATAAGTTATGTTTAAAAGAGAATGATTTATAAGAGTATTGATTTTAAGGGTGACAAAAGTGCAGATCAACCTTTGGGTTATAATTATTCACTCGAGTTATATTTTACGAAAACCTAAAGAATAAATTGTGTTCGTTTTTCACTACGTGTATACTTAATAATTCATTTGTCTTTGTGGATTTAGGTATATCAGCCCTTCAATAAGTTTTCTATCCAAGAGAGTTCAGAAATATTATCCATAACAGTTGAAAAAAGACAATAGTGAATGGGTAAGAAGCTTAATAATTAACTACCTTGTAAGTCGTTTCAATCAAAACAGATTCACTGTTCAAAGTCATCTACAAGATGAATGGAAATCTACCAACTACGATGTTCGATTTTCTTCGTATAACTCAAGCCTTCAGGATAAAAGTGTCCATTTACGATCCCTGGCTTCAACTGTTGTCTAACAAGCTTCAATCTATGATATATTCCGTGACAAGTTAGAACCCAACACTATAACTTGAATAATGATCATTACTCTAATAAAATAAAAGTGTTTATTTATGCGTGATTGATTATATTCCAAGCAGTGATAGATGACTGAATAAAGTCATTTCCAGCTCTAATAAATATATATAGACTACTTTTTAAACGTAACGTGTTGCTTTATAAACCATTATTCAGCTTTATATGATCGTAAACTGTTGGATCAGAATTGTGTATCACATGATCTATTCTAGTAGTCTAACTGTTTATTTTATCATCTAGTATAGTGATCTAGTGTATTCAGTCTGTTGCATAATATATTCATTTGTCTTATGTATTATCAAGTTCGTCCATGTGAAATACAGTAGTTCGATGTTATAAACATGTTATATTGTATTACATTATTATTAACTAATTCAATCACTGGGTGGTGATCAATGTCATGTGTGTCAAATCCTTATTTAGTGCAGATCGAATGCTATCGACCATGTTGCAATGTGGCCACCAGTCTAGGTGACTTGACACTGCGTGCACTATATATTGAGATTAGATGGTGGTTGGAGGTAGTCACCAGGAAACCCTGGACCCGAGTTTTATGTTACTTGGCACTCGTCAGAAAGGTGTACCTGTAATCTTGAGGGAACTGGTGCTCCCTGGCGGATTCGACCCGATATCACGCAGCTTGACAGTCAGAGACATTACCACTGAGCTATCTGAGCCACAACCGACCTCCTGTAGGACTGAGATGTAATCACAATTAATTGATCACTGGGTGATGATCAATATCATTTGTGTCAAGTTCTTATTTAGTGCAGACCGAATGCTAATTCCCAAAAAAATAATATTAACAATCCATAATAATAAACTCACTTCATCTTTTTCTTCAATATCATCTAATTCATCATATTGTTTTGACATAATTGATACTCGAATTGATGTTCTTGTATGCATTTTCGATTCTCCTTGTTTCTTTTTTAATTCATCTCTTAAATGATTTAATTTCCATTGCCAATTTTGATCATCAATAGTACGTATAATTAAATCAGGTATTAATGCTAATAATGTTATACAAAATATACTAAACCATATTAAACCACAACCAGACCCAGTAAACATAATTGTATATGTACCATATAATTGTTTACCAAGTTCTGTAGGAAATAATACATCATTACATATTAAAAAGATTGAAATATTTATAATAATTGCTAAATTCCATATTAATAATATAATCCAATTTAAGTAGTAACTTATCAGTAGTACTTTAATATTTACAACAAGAAATATGACCAAAATAATAAAATTACCAAAACATATAAGATTACTTAATTTAGAATAACCATGATCATTCGCATGACCTTGAAAACTTAAAAAATATGTACCAAAAAAAATAATAAATGCATGCCAACAAGCTAAACTAATCCATATAAGAAAATGTTTCTTAGATAAAATATAATTTCTAGCTATATTTTGATATAAAATAGGAAATTCTAATAAAATTGATTTCGGTATAGAGATTTCAAAGATTCCATATAAAAATATTGGTAATGATGTCATAATTAAATTAAATAAAATTAAATAAATTTGTGGATATATAGATTGTTGTGAATAAACACAATAGAAACCATATAACATTTGTGGTAATGTAAAGATTAAATTTTTATAAAAAAAATATAATACTAATAATGATACACGTTGATAATATAAATGTCCATGTACAAGTAATACATTTTTTAAATAATGAAAACGTCCAAATGCATAATCGGATGCACGTACAGCTTGTCGACCTTCTTTACCATAAATACCAAAACCAATATGTGCTTCTAATATCATAGATACATCATTTGCACCATCACCAATAGCAGCTGTAATTGGTATTGTTTTACGACTTTCTTTAATTAAACGTATAACTTCAGCTTTTTGTAATGGTGTTGAACGACAACATAATACAGTGGATGATTCAAGACAACATTGTGTAAGTAATGATCTTATTGGTTCCTATTGATAAAATAGAAAATATTTTAAAAAAAAACACAAAGAAAATGAGTGAGGAACATGATTGAATGGCTGGTTGTATTTAAAATAGTAAAATAATTATCACAATTGATTCATTACTGGGTGGTGATCAATGATGTCATGTATGTGAAGTCGTTATCTAGTGCAGATTGAATGCTATCGACCATGATGCAATGTAGTCACCAGCCTAGGTGACATGACACTGCGTGCACTATTATGAGATTAAAATAATTATATTTAACATCACTTTTTTTGGATTTGTCATGTCGTGTCTAGAGTATTATGTCAAGCTCATATGGGTTATTCTAATTTTCGAACTAAATATTTGACAAGACTATAATTTATGGATGAAAACCTAACAGATTTAGGATAACAGACGCGAAATTCATTCATACATTTGTCTAAATAGAATTTTGATAGTTTAGCTGATGATGATTCAAGACAACATTGGTTCCTATGACAAAGTAGAAAATATTTTTAAAAAATGAGTAAGGAATTTGATTGAATGTTTGGTTGTATTTAAAATAGTAAAATAATTATATTTAACATCACTTTTTGATTTGTTATGCTACAAGAAAAATATGGTTAGATGTCTCACTAGCAGAACTAAAAAAGATCTGTACAGTAGACACTCTAAGTCAGGAGCTTGAATTCATCAACAACTCGCTGACTGAGATCGGCTACCCTAGTGCTTTCATTAAGAAGTACATGTATGATAAAATAAAGAAGTCGGAGATTTCGATTGTTCGTAAGAAATTTTTATACATGAAACTACAATTCAACGGGGATGTGGCTAGTGATACTCTGAAATATAAGTTAACGAAAGTAATCACAAGGACATTCTACGCAGCCAATCTTGCGTTGACTTTCTCTTATCGATCTCTGATGTCTACGCAAACGAAGGATAAGTTACCTGAGTTGACTTCCTCAATGTGCATTTACAAATTTAGCTGCTCCTATGGAGATAGCTATATCGGGCGTACTACCAGGCAACTTAACCAACGAATTTGTGAACATTTACCATCTTGGTTTATATAAAGGGCCAGGTAAAAACAATTCGCAATTCTATCTTGGCACATCTCATTGATAGCGGTCATGCTGTAGATAAATCGAAATCATTTCGAGTGATCTATCGTATACTTCCATCATTTCCCAATGTAGTTCGTTCCCTCATCCTACATATAGCTGAAGCCATAGGAATTCGTACATATAACCCCAATTTATGTGTGCAGAAGAAATTCGTAACCCCCCTATCCCTTCCATGGCCAGTTATAACTTAACTAACGACTTTTTAAATTATTATTGTTATTTATTTATTTTATTCTATTTTTGTTATCATTTGCCTTATTTTCACATCTAGTATTTGTTTGTAATTTTCCGCCTCTTGCCGTTTGTATTCTTCACCATCTAATCATTTACACACTTCTTATTACGTAATGATGACTATTCCAAGTCTATTTACCCACGTTTGACCTTCTATTTTCAACGTTTAACTATTAATAAGACTTTTGTTATCGTATTTTATTATTCTTACCTACGATTAGTACACTTGTCTTCCTACTATCAACTTGTAATTTTATCTATTATGTGTGGCGACTTATTCTATTTTATTGTGATTATTAACCCATATTGCCTTGATTGGTTTTCATTTTCGTATAAATATTCATGTACATTAAAGTAAGGCCTGATGACGATCTAATTGAAAACAATATTGTTCGTTTATATGTGTTGTTATGTCGTGTCTAGTACTATATCAAGCTCATATGGGTTATTTTAGTTTTCGAACTGAATATTTGACAAGACTATAATTTATGGATGAAAACCTAACAGATTTAGGATAACAGACGCGAAATTCATTCATACATTTGGCTAAATAGCGTTTGACAGTTTAGCTGATATTAATTTGTGATGAAAACCCTATATCTAATTCCTAACCCAAACCATCAATTATAAATCATAATTATAATCCTCCACATTGGTTTTTAACACTCATGTGACACTAGTAAGTAGGTGACAGTTCTTAAAGTCGAATTAGTGTCGCTCAAAGGTCTTCCATAAATCATAGTCTCATCGATCTTTTTTTTCCATTCTACCTGAATCACACTTTAATCCTGTAGATTATTCTCTTATTAACTTTGACTGTTTTTATATGAATATTTATGTATGTATCGCTTACCCTATTAAACATGTCTTGAGATTATTCTTATCTGGCTATAATATATTGAGTCATGCTTGATCAAAACTAGTCAACACACTTGCCTTCTCCAGTGTCAATTTCAGCATCTTTTCTCTGTCTGTCTGTGACAATGAGTGTATGAAATATAAATATTTAAAATTCATTCTTGTATTTGACTTATTCCATTATTATTCTGGAAGTGGATAGGACATACATTGAGGAAAGCACCCAACTGCGTCACAAGACAAGCCCTCACATGGAATCCTCAAGGCCAAAGGAAAAGAGGAAGACCAAAGAACACATTTCGCCGGAAAATGGAAATAGACATGAGAAAAATGAACGAGAATAGGATGGAATTAGAAAAGAAGGCCCAGGACAGAGTGGGTTGCAGAATGCTGGTCGGTGGCCTATGCTCCATCGGGAGTAACAGGCGTAAGTAAGTAATTATTATTCTCTTACCTGAATTCAGTCGATAATTATATACAAGGGTTGACAACATGTATATATTTTGTTAACATCATCATACGATCAAATCAGAGTCAGATCATCAATGGGCCACAAAAATCAAAATATTTTGATCTGAAATATACTATATTTACTAAAATAACTTATGCATAGTATTTATACACTTTTTCTGGGCAATGAGAAATTCACTGTGAGATTATAATAATAAATCACAAACTGAATGAACAGTATTAACTTAAATAATTAAAAATGATAGTTTTAAGTATTGTATGTTACTTATAAACTAGAGAACACAATCATATGTTACACTACCTTAGAGTGAAGTTGTTGATACTTTTAAATATATTTTACTTGTGTTTTCCCATTGTTATTTAGGACTGCAATTGATCAGTCTCTTGTTGGCATATGTACATCCTCTACCGATTGCCTCGATATAGCCTAGCCACTAGCTCTTTAAGCAAAGATCGTTCGTGATTAGCATTGGCGTTCGACACCCTGAGTGGACATCAACTCTGGGATGCAGGTGCATCCAGCTGACGAGTTCCGAATGGGACGAAATGCGCGTCCAGGATTCCACTGCTAGCCACCATCCATCTTTACTTCCAAATATGTTTGAGTTCAATATCGATACAACCATGAAGTAGATAGGTTACTGATTATAATAATAATTTAATTACCAAATGATTTATTATCTTCATTAAATAAATAAAAGAATTTATTATCTATTCTACCATTCTATCCAATTATTACACGGGATTTGATTATGAATACTTTAGTTACAAAACTTATGGTACATTATTAATATTTCCAACATAGTTTCAGTTAATTAAGGCCAAGGTAACGATAACGATAAGACGTGCTTCTTTTGTACGCATAGTTCTGATTTAAGCTCCTGGATTGTTTATATGATTCATTCAAATCTACCCAGATTTCTTCGTATCCAGCTCTTAAAAATAGCCGAAGCTCTTAACATCCAGGAGCTTAAACTAGAACTATGCCTACAAAAGAAGTACGTCTTATTGTTATAGTTTCAGTCGTTTAATACATCTATGAAAGTACTCGGAAGTCTGATTATTTTTTAGCAAACTACTAGTCACTATCATTTTTTAAACACAATTTTCCACAACCATAAATAATTTGATAGAATTGTGTGCATAGACGATTTTTATTCAATTCACCTTACTGACAATCATTGATACGGTGTATGAGATCAAATGCGTTTGATGATGTTTCTATCAACATTAGAGAGATTGACGTTCATCTTAGAATTGCATCATTTTTGTAATCTTTACAACCCTTATAGAAATGTTTGATTTATTTGAGAAAAAGTAAAGATTGTCTACCTCAGTATGTGATCTTTTTACACACCTCCTGAAATCTCATGTCTTGGTTCTGTAAATGATCATATTCATCAGATTAATCTTATTCGAGTTTAACTAAATCTAGTAATAAATACAGATGATTTCATTCAGACAAGTATCATTACACACTTCTCAGAGTAAATCATACAGAAAACATATATATCGATCCATCCATCTGTACATACATACGTTAACGTGTTATGTACTTCCAGCAGCTGATTTAAAATAGTTTAAGACAATTATTTTGAAGCTCTAAGTCTAGGTTTCGTACTAGTTAGCATTTGTCATTGTTATGTATCAGCTGACTCGGATCCCATATGAGTTATTAACTCACCCATGATCTCTAATACATCTTACTAATGAGTGTTAATTAACCTATATTCAACAATTTCTTCCATCTATTTTCTAAATACAAATCATTAAAATAGGTTTTAGGTTACGGTTAATTCACTTGGATCATTACTACTATTGATTGATAGAATCCAGTTAACACAAGACATTAGACAAATACCACTTGGATTACTACACTGTGATCATCCAATGATTTTAAATAAATGTCTGTAATCAATATATCAAATATTAACAAACATATAGGTCCTCGGTTCGAATCTCGCTGAGGGCGGGATCGTGGATGTGCACTACTGAGGAGTCCCATACTAGGACGAAACGGCCAACTGTCCAGTGCTTCCAGATTTTCCATCATGGTCTAGCTTAAATTGACTCACGATTTCAACTACTGAAACGGATTAATGTTTAGAAATTAGGATTCTTAATCATAGTCTATTTTACCTCTTTGATTGTCAGTGACATAAAGTAACTTGTACAGAAAAAGTAGAGAAATTTTAATAAAATTGTAAATAAGGGGACAGATGATAAACTTCATAAATTACTGCCTATTTATTGATTTCTTATAACGAATACTGAAATGATTAAATTAATTTTGAATTATCTAAATTAATTAAAATAAAAGATTATGGCGCAATCAAAATAAACCAGTTTACTAAATTAGAAATCAAGATTGATGAGCTGTAAAAAATCAGGATTAACATATACTAATGTATCTACAAAGAACCATATTAATGAGATATTAGCTTATACATATTTTTAATAGTTGAATTCATGAGTGAACTGAAGCTAGACAACCATGGAAAACCTGGAAGCAATGGACGGCCGAGTCCTCCAAGTATGGGACTCCTCAGTAGTAAACATCTACCGACTCATGAATTCAACTATTAAATTACTATAACATCCAAAAAATCTCTCTCTCATTATGATCATCATATGCTCATTTGTGAAGTATTTCCTGGAGTTCTAGTGAGAGGCAGTGACCAGTGGAGTTCAACCGAGTCTGTTGTGAGATAGTAACTCACTGAAAACAATGGTATACGGTGGCGCAATTTCGTGGATTGGTTGAAGTTAGACAATAACACTGTTGGATGCCGGCCAGCTCAGCGTTCTAGAGGTTAAGCGCTCGTGTGCGAGTCCGATAGCTTCTGGGTTCGAATATCGCGGGGCGGAATCATGGATGCGCACTGCTGAGGAGTCCCACACTAGGACGAGACAGCTGCCCACTGCTTCCAGGTCTTCCATGGTGGTCTATTTTCTATAGACTCATGAATTCAACTAATTATATTACTATGCGATCCACAAAACCCCTCTCTGACTATACAGATGTATTGAATTATTTATTCTTACATCCTGTTCAATATTAATACAAAATATATTCATCACAAATAATTTAATTATGAATAAAAGTACTGTAGCGAAGGCGAACACAGATGAGTACAACCGATTATATTTCGCATAAAATTAAAGAGTTACTTGATAAAATAAAAAAAAACCATACTCCACTACTTCATTTGCAAATTGATCATTAATTTTCTCAAACTTCATTGTTCCTGCATTTTTCATACCAATTGCTTTCTGTTCCCATTCTTCCCTTCTTGATCTTCTCAATCTTCTACTACCAGACATTCTATTCCTGACTGATATTATATACTACTTATGTCGACATATATAACACACACCACAGTACTAATATACATCACTTAAATATGATGTTCTTTTTCGTTTGATAGAATTCAATTTTAATCTTAATTGGAGTAAAGTCAAGGCTTTAATACTTAAAATACCAGACAATAAACAAATTTTTATTTTAATTACATTAAGATAAAGATGCTGTTAATACGTTTACTTACCACAAGAGCATAGTTTAATGACTGACCGTCTATAACAACTCCAAATTGTGTGTCAGCATCATAAATTTTCGATTCTTTGATACGTTCAATTTGACTTTTTAAAAAACTTCCACATTTCACTGTATCATCAAAATTGGTAACACGAATTTCTTGCATACCAGGATAAAAATGTCCAGCTGCATAACTAATATTAACAGCTGTCTCTTCTTTATCACCTGTAAGTACCCATATCTAAAAATAATTTGTTTAAATAAAACAACAATGATAAATAAAAGTTTTAATTAAGATGATGTTACTATCAGTTCAAATGGGAGCTAAATATAACTGGCTTCTTTCAAACAAACTTCAGTACACCGTATAGTAGCATATTGCTTTATTTATTTCTTATCATTCTGCTCACTAACTCCGCCTGTAGCTCTTCTAGAGTTATTACCGGTCCCAAGCCCAGGTAAAGGAGGAGGGTTGGGCATGGGGTTAGCGTCCTCATCACGTAGAAAACTAACTCGCTGAAAAAACGCTTGACAGTATTCGGCTCACTGAAAGTATTCTATTATTCAACTAATAGCCTGAAAAATATAATGTTCGTTAATGTAATCAGCACTTAACTGAATAATGTAATCTGGACATTCGTGGGAATCAGTGTTGATTAAAATGGTCCAACCATACTAATTTTAGTTTCAAAGTGTAAATATATCGAATGAACTTAGTGGTAACATCTCAGAATGTGAGATTAAGTGACAAAGATACGAATCGATCGATTCCATCAAGATTACATGTAAACATTTTGGTGGAGAGTGTCAATCAGCACGAAATTTATGTCCAGGGTTTCACACTAACTATTTTGACCCATCTAACATTCGGTTAGAATTTTTAGGATTGTTCATCTGCTCTAATGAAATGAGATCTAAGTCTAAAGGGTACCATAATACGTTCACTTATCACATCTAATATTCTCAGTCTAGTAAATAAAACAATGAAGGTTTTCAGCTAAGTTTTAATGTTCTATGAGTTGTTTTTCAAACTATTAACAAAAAGACAAAGTTAATAAATATTGTTTAACTAAAAGAGAATAAGTAATTCACAAGAATTTGGCAATTAAACAAAAGTTAAATACTGATATACCAATTTAAAAGTAACGTAGTTGTAATTAACATTTTACTTTGAGATAATTGTCAGTATTATTTTGCCGCTATTATTATAGCAGTTAGTCATTTTACTGTTATTGATACGGTATACCATATCAACACCATTGGATAACGACTCATAGGTCTACAGGTTAAGCGTTCGAGCGAGAGACCGGAGGTTCAAATCTTTAATCCCGTGTGTGGAATTGTAGATGCACACCTCTGAGAAGCTCCATACTAGAATAAAAGGGCATCCAAGGATCCTAGATTTTCAATGGCGGTCTAACATTGATCAGTTCGTGATCTCAAATAAAAACTTAAATACTTTACAAACGAGTAATTAATAGTTTTAAACTTTAGATATTTAAAATCCAACAAACTTTTAGAAATGAAATTTTCATATTTTTATAACATTTTTTATTAAGGTATCAAAGCCATTAAGTAACAAAACGTCAAAAGCATAATTTTTCTACTCATTAGGATATATCCAAAAATATATTTATTATTTTATATGATTTGTTTACTTGGAAAACTACTACAACCATCATCAAGAAGGTACAAGTATTTATAAACGGTTATCTACACAAGATACTCAACATCCATTGGCCAGATATCATCAGCAGCAGCCAGCTGTGGGAGGGAACAAACCACCTAGTCTGATATTATTCACAATTTACACCATTATCGGTTAGCGTTTTTCGAACGAGTTAGTTTTCTACGGGATGAGGTCGCTAATCCCATGCCCAACCCTCCTCCTTTATCCGGGCTTGGGACCGGCAGTAAATCTAGAAGAGACCTACAGGCGGAATTTTCAAAATCTTCAATACGAACGTCGAGACAGTTCAACTATACGGAGCTGACACTTGGAGAACTACAAAAACTATCATCAAGAAGGTACAAGTATTTATAAATAGCTGTCTACGCAAGATACTCAACATCCATTGGCCAGATATCATCAGCAGCAGCCTTCTGTGGGAGAGAACAAATCAGCGTTCAACTGAAGAGGATTTTAGGAAAAGAGGATGGAAATGGATAGAACATACATTACGCAAATCATCAAAATGCATCACGAGACAAGCCATAACTTGGAATCCTGAAGGGAAAGGGGAAAGAGGTAGGTCTAAAACACATGATGTCGGGAAATAGAAGCAGATATGAAAATGATGAATAACAACTAGAAGGAGCTGGAAAGGATTGCCCAAGACAAGGTTGGATGGAGAGTGTTGGTGGATGGTCTATGCTCTTCTACGAAGAGTAACAGACGTAAGTTGTGAGTGAATGAAATTCGAAAAAGAATAATGATTGTTAGAGAATATTCGTTTAACTCCTAAAACATTACTTGTATAAAATATAAGATAGAATATGAAGGTATTCCTAAACAAACAAAATATGATTTAATTTTGAAGTAACAAGAAAAAAACAACATCAAACTAACTTTAATTCCAGCTTCTCGAAGTGCTTTTATAGTTTCAGGAACACCATCTTGAAGCATATCCTCTATACCAGTGCATCCAATTAATGTAAGCTTTTTTTCAATTTCATTATAAGCTGTAATTAATTCTTTTTGACGTCCTTCATTCACTATACTTCTTGCTTTATCAAGTTTAGTTTTTAATTCATTCCATTTTTTAATAGTGATTAATCGTATACCCATAACTAATGTACGTAAACCTAAAGTTGCAAATTCAGTCACTTGTTTCATAACTTGTTCAGAATCCATTCGTAATTTTAATCCAGCTGTTCCACAGAAACTATCACCTAAAGGATCTCCATATGCATTGAATGTGTTAGGTTGTTCCATATGATCAATCTAAATTGTCGTCAATATAATAATAAAATTTGATTAATTAGACTATAAAATGTTAATAAAAAAACACAGTAAAGATTATTAATTTGAACAAAATTAACGTCTGGTACTTTTGTTAAAAAAACCCCCTGAAACTATGTCGATATAAATACATTCACAGTTATTCCCTTGGTATTGTTTGGCTTGTATCTTCCTACTGAGGTGTAAGACTGCAATTGATCAGTCTGTTATTGGCATATGTGCACACTGTGCGTATGCCTCGACATTGCCTTAATTCACAAGCTTTTTGTAAACAATGATAGATAATGGCTAGCGGTGGAATCCAGGACGCGCGTTCCGCCCTATTTGGGTAACGCAATGGCGTTTGAAGAGAATGGTACTGGGTTCGAGTCCCAGAGTGAACATCAACTCTGAGATGCAGGCACATCTAGCTGACGAGTCCCAAACAGGACGAAACGAGCATCCTGGATTCCACCGCTAGCCACTATCCATCATTGCTTACAAAAAACATTCACAGTTAGTTTATGTAATAACATGAAATAAAGAATAGACGTTTTTAATTATGAAACTTAATAAAAAATCCGTTATCTAACAGTTTGTGTGCGGGATTGTGGATGCGCACTACAGAGGACTCTCATACTCGGACGAAATGACTGTCTAGCTCTTCTAGGTTTTCAATAATGATCTAACATTGATCCATCCATGATATTAATTTAAACTCAACAATTTCCAAAACCCTATACAGATAATCTTCAGATGAATTTACTTTTATGAAGCCTTCAATAAGTACTACATATTCACTTTGAAGAAGAAAATCTTTAAGAGATAAAGCAACAATTTTTTAAAGACATACTTGATTATGATGAACCGAGTTGTGTGAACTCACCTACTTATAAAGATGTTGATTTTTGTAAACTATTGAAAACCAATTAAACTTAAGGCCAAGTAAAAGCAATGGTAATCGGAAGGATTACATAATAATAAGAGAATAATCAAGTATCATACAACTCAACTCATTTATGCGTGCGAAAGATCGTTAGAGTAAATTTAAGTTTGGAAGACAATCTATTTGTATTGAAACTTTTTCTTCGAAACAGATTGAAGAGCTTTCGAAAGTGATTAACTTCTATACTGATTTAATAGCTTCAACTGATATATGTTTAACATCATTGTTTTGATCAGCAGTATCTTTATAAGAAATCGGTCAGACTGTAATATATTGGTGACTTTTAAACGACACTAAAGTGATCATGAGAGACTTCAATTACTTACTAGTCCCACAATAAGAATATAAATTATTGTAAAGAATTAGAATTAGATTTCAAAGTTACGGTTGGAAATTAAAGATTGAGCTGCTATCTGTTCATACAGTTGAGTAAATTCAGAGACAACATTCAAAGTTCATCAACTTAAATCTGATTACTCGTCTATGAATCTTACTCCTGCCGAGAAATCTATCAACTTTTATTTCTTATTAAATGATGACTTGTATTAATAAAGGTTCTATCACCGTTTCGGACAGAACTATTTATACAACCAAACAAAATTTATATTCTACACTTTTGTTTAAATCATAAGCTTATACTTATGTTGAAGTTGGAGTGACTGACCAACTATTTTAGTATTTTAATTTAGATCACGAACCGATCAATGTTAGACCATCATTGTAAACCCAAAAAAACTGGACAGCTGTTTCGTCGCAATACATGACTCTTCAGAAGTGTGCATCCATGATCCTGAACGCAAGATTCAAACTTAGAACCTTCAGCCTCATACGTGAACGCTTAACCTGTAAGAGCTGAACTCATTTTATGACTGTACAAAAACTGCGGGTTATTTATTTATTTCTTAAATATTCAAATTAGTATTTTAATTTGGAAACATTTTATTATCATTCAAGACAACTACATCAATACAGTTTCATGAAGTATTATGTAATATAAATTAAAATAAATCATAATTTGACCGATATCCTCTTGAATTCTAATTTATTTTAATCATAGAGGGGTTTTGTGAATATTATAGTAACTTTAATAATAGAATTCATGAGTCAATTAAAGCACGACCATCATGGAAAACCTGAAAGCACTGGACGGCTGTCTCGTCCAAGTGTGAGACTCCTCAACAGTGCGCATCTGCGATCCCACCTCACGAGATTCGAACCCAGGGCCTACGAGACTCGCATACAGGCGCTTAACCTCTAGACCACTGAGCCTACCGGCATTCAACTGTGTTAATGTCATCAGTGAGTTACCATCCCACAACCGACCCGGTTGTACTCCATTGACACGGCTTCTCACTAATACTCCAGGAAATACCTCACTAGTGAGCATATGATGATTATAATGAGAGATGGATTTTGTGGATATAATAGTAATTTTAATAGTTGAATTCATGAAAAGTCCCATATTAGGATGAAACGGCCGTCTAGTGCTTCCAGGTTTTCTATGGTTGTCTAGATTCAATTGATTCATGAATTCAACTATTCCAATTTTTTTGTTTTATTTGAATTCAATGGTTTTAGCGGATTAATTTTTTGAAAAGAAAAAATTTCAGCGTGACTATAATTTATGGATGATCTCCGAACGAAACCTAAGTGACCTTGAGAAATATTAGCCAATCAGTAAACAGAAAGTTTAGAGTAAAAATATGTTATACAAAACCAAAAAAATAAAGTGGATACGCTTCTTATACGTGGTTCAAAAACCCGTCAACGTTAGAAAGAGGTTCAGAGGTTCTAAAGTCGTAATGCATGTAGTAGAGGAAATCATCCATATGGCTACGGAATAGTCGGTCTCTGGAGCTATGATAAAGTCTTAAAAACCCTTTCAGCATCGACCACATAGCTTCAATATTGTATGTGCGCACTCTGGTTGTTGAGTACACAATATCCCACTTGTGGATAACGACACGATGCACATAACCAAACCTATGTAGAAGTATGTTCGCTCTCCAATCATCCGTATATACTGTAGTACCTGACTGCAGCCAGTGTTACCGGTGCTTTTATTATCCACTTCTCAATAATTGTCGTAAGTTGTTTTAGTTAGAAATTATATATAGAGTTTTCATCACGAATTGACATCAGCTATAATGTCAGAAATCTATTTAGGCAAATGGATGAAAGGTTTTCGCGCCAAAATCCGAGATCTGTTATCTCATACCTGATTGATTCGTCCACAAATTATAGTCTCACCGTTTTATTTGTTATAGCCACTCAATTATCACGTTTTGTACAAAATTCCCTGTGAACCGATCGTACGTTAGCATTCAATACTGATGTTGGTGCCGTGACCTTGAAATCTCTCAAATGCTTCTGATTGGCTCGTCCATAAATTAAAGTCACGTCGAAATTTCTAATACATCACTTTATATTTCTAAAATTAACTTCTTAAATCATCTCAAATGCATAAAGTAATCAATTTACTTATCATAATGACCTATTTTAATAATCTTAATAAAAGAAAAATGTAAGTGAATAATTTATTTTAATAAATAAACATTCCAATTAAACAATGACTTGAATATGAATTATAATTGTAAGGAAATTTTGTTTTGTGCGCCTTAATAAATATCGAGAATCAATATTGTATTGATCACTCTCATGGAATGATGGTGTAATAATAATAATAACTCCAATCATTGTAATAAGTATGGCTAATTTGCTTTCACACTTCATCGGCTATATATTAGTTTTGACAGGATTAAATTGGTACACATAGATATTAACTGCACTAAATCAATAATATTAATTAGATGACAGTCATTATTTACTTGACCATTCATAGACTGAAACTCCTTAACCATCTTTTCCGAGTAACAGTATATAACAACTATCCTACATCCAATTTCCTTTATGTTTAATTTTGGTTAAGTCTTTTTATGAACTTACTTAACAGACAATGTTATTTGAATTAAAAACAATTCGCATATTTCTTTGTACCGTTATGATCATTAGGGAACATAACAGACTCTAGCTAAAATGTTGATTGCTTAAATGTTGCTCGATGATTCATCCTCCTTCTCATGCATATATATGTTCAAATCCTATTATCAGCTTTTGCTTTTCGTTGCTGCGCCCTTATGCGATTTGGCTATAAATTTTTTTATATAATTTCTCGCATATACTTATTTGCCCCTTTGCTTCAAATTCGCTCGATATGCTTATAGCTTTGTTATCCGTGCTATCCACTAATCAACTGTAGTTGCCGCATCTTATTGCCATCTGATTTCAAACACCGTTGAGATTTATATTATAATGGTTATCGAAGTAATTGATTAACGATGCAAATCCACGAAAAGTGTTTACGTGTAAAGATCATAAACACCTATGTCGAAGTATTTCATATTTTCATAGGCCACAGTATACACCACATGAATAAATAAAAATGGCCTGGTGATTAAAAAGAGTTGATTAATATATGTCATGTCGTAGTAATACTGCAGTGAACAAGAACACTAGTGGGACAATCGAATGTATGTAACACAAAATAACAGGACTTGTTAATAAAATCTAGCAATCATAAAGTAAATGCTTAATTTGCAAAAATGTCCATCGATTGTCTCAAAATGACTCGGACTTCATTGTTCTTGCATTTTCATACAAATTGCATTTTGTTTCCATTCTTTACTGTTCGATCATCTTGTCTCCCTACTTTCGGACCTTCTGTTTACGACTAACATCATATACTACTTATGTCAACATAAGTAGCACACACCACAATGCGACTCTCTCTCTCTTTATATATACATATACATATATCAATTACAGTTACGATTTGTAAAATGGTATTGTTCATACTAAATTAGTCACTTCAGTTGAATCAAGCTGAGTCTACACCACATTTAGTCTGATTACTAGTTTTATATTTTAGACACTGAAAAAAATCTTCACCTACCAACTAGTTTAATTTTAAATAACTGAAGACGTTATTATCAAAAGAATGATATTCGTTAACTGTAGGATTTAATTTGTCTTTCAGATATATTACTAGAACTGTAAACGCGATACTGGAGATCACAAAGTCTATGTGAAAGCTATGGTCAGAACAAGGACAACTTGGCTTTAAACTTGACCTATTTCTGAACGTAAAAACAATTAAGATTAGTAATTAAGGAAATTACAGTTATTCAGTGAAACGCACAAATTTATCAACCAGTATTACGTGTCTTATCGAAATGTATAAAATTATGAGTCACACTAACATAATAGGATAATAATGTCTTTCAATTGGTGAGGTTACATGCAACAGGGTTAGTTTACAAGTAGATCAGACCAGATCAATGTGGTGATCGCTTAAACAACGATTTGATCAGTTAGTTATGAACATAACTAACATTAACCTTTACTTCATAGTTTGTTTCAAAAAAATTGTAAGCAAGTTATCTTGGTTAAAAAATGAAATCAGAATATTTGTTTGATTAATTAATTTAATAATACAAGAACAGACAGGAATTAGAAACACAAAAAGTCTAATTGATGAAAGTATAAATTAAATAGCAATTAAATTTATTGAGTCGGCTTTCCGAGAACTGCACTGGAGCCTCCAGAGGCCCTAAAGGAGACGAAGAGTCCTAGCCAATCAGAGCATGATGGAACTTTCTAGAATGTCAACGTGGCGTGCCACTATTGATCAGTAGCATAATGTTTTTAGCGGATTGGCCAAAGTATGATGTTGATTTAACAAATGTTAACATCTATAAATGCCCGTGTTTCTCTGCGTCTTTTCTTTCGAGTTCAGGTGGCTGTATAGTTGTAGATTGCGGGTTACCAGAATAGGTTAGAAACCGAATAAAGCATTCAAATTAACAAGACTTATCAATATTAAATTTGAAAATTACTTACTCGACTCAAAAGACTTGTTTCAGCTCCTTTGCACAAAATAAGAACTGGAGAATTTAATGATTCAGATTCATTATTCTCTTTGGGCACAAATTGTACAACTACTGACATACATTTTCGTGTTGCATCAAATTCAAGTACATCTAATAAACGATATCTTACTGCTTCACCTTGAATTGTGATTACCTGAAACACAAGAAAATTATGTAATTATTGAAATATTATAATTTTTGATAAAGACATAGACTAAGTTTACCAATTTAAAAGTGTGTGTAGTCACACATACATAGGGAGGAGCAATCGTGATCTCAAAATTAGGATGTGTAAACATGTACCGAAATGGTTGCAGAAACAATAGAATTAAATGACGCAATAACAGTAGAGGATAAATGTCCATCATTCCCTATTACCAAATATATAATCGAAACAGGACATAAGATTGATCATAACTAGGCTTTCGTGATGTTGTGCAAAAATGTAAAATGGCGTATACTAAGGTTTATTGAAGCATTGGTCATAGGAAAATCCAGACCTCCTTTGTGTATTCAAAAACAGTTTGTTATCACCTTAAACCTACCCTAGTAAAATTGGCTTGTTATCCAGAGTGATTAGGTTCCGAATTGTCTTCATATTATTATTATTATTATTATTATTATTATTATTATTATATTATTATTATCCTTGTCTCCTGTTACCCCATTTCCAGTCTAGTTGGCCATTTATTTTTCATATTTATAAATGTTCTAAGCAAGTGTATTATGTGTGATCAGATTATTCGAAATGTATTGCGCTAATATATCATCACATAGTTCTGATAATCTTCGTCTTATTATATTTCAATGGTTGAGATCATGAATCAGTTGAAGCTAGACCAACATGGAAAACCTGGAAGCACTGGACTGCCGTTTCGTCCTATTGTGAGACTCCTCAGCAGTGAGCATTCATTATCGAAATACACTGATTTATACGGAGATTTCAGTGATGTATTCATACTAATGAACAATAATGAATTTTATGTTACACTATATATGTAGTGAGTTTCAAATTAGGGGTTTAAAATTTATGTACATCTCTTCCGAATCCTATGCTGATAGTTTGAGTAAGAGCAGATACTACATTAAAGTAAAGAGATTTAACATTCATTAATATACAGTCATTTCAGCAGTTTAAAAGTCCACATAGAATATTCAAAAACGCAGCCAAGCTACACATAATTCTCTCAACTAAACCAGTACTCACACAGCTAATCAAGGATAGGTTACCGAAGATGGGCTCTTCCACGTGTGTATACCATTTCAACTGCTCCTGTGAAGCTAGTCACATAGGCCGTACTTAGAGGGCTTTATCCTTGCGTGTTCGTGAACATGTACCAGCTTGGTTGAGAAAAAGTTACCAAATCAATTAAAAGCACCATTCTTTCTCACTTGGTAGGTAGTGAACATCATATCAAAATAGAGGAAGCTTTCTCTGTTTTATATCAAATTCCAAAATATCTACCTCACAGAGCTAGATTACGACTGCTTTACAAAGCCGAAGCTATCTGGATCAACTCCAGAAGACCATATTTATGTATCCAGAAAAAATATATACAGTCATTTATAAATACTCTAAACTAAAAATTTGGTTACGTAATTACTCGGTAACGTAATAAATTGGCATTGTATCCATCTTTAATAAAGATTACTGCGAAATGTTTATAAAACTTACAATGTAATTGTATTTCATAATATCACTTGTAATAATTATAATATTTCCTAAAATTGGCTGACATTTTTGGCTGGTATTATGGATATCTGATAAATTAGTCAATATATGAGTAGTTCACATTTCATAAATATATGCTTGCAATGGTAACCTAATTAATAAAAATGCTACTTTGAATTGTGAAACGTTTGAAATGAAATTCTTATTCTGATAAAAATTTAAGGTGTACATTTGTACATGAACTCCTAAAGACTCTAGCACATTATTCAAGTATTTGGTGTGCATTGATACTGTTATAAAGATGTTTGATAATAATAGTTAATCATATGAAGTTTCAAAAGTATCCATAAGCATTTAAAAACATAAGATAAAATAGATAATCGCTGTCAGCATAGAGGTTATGAAGATAAATAAGTTTTTGATTGAGATCATGAATCGATTGATGTTATATTACCGTTGGAAACCTGGAAGCACTGGACGACCGTTTCGTCCTATTTTAGAACTCCTCAGCAGTGTGCATCCACAATCCCCCCGCGGGATTCGAACCTAGGGCCTCCAGTCTCGCGCGCGAACGCATAACCCACTGGACCACTGAGCTGGGTCGTGGATGTGCACTGCTGAGGAGTCTAACATCAATCGGTTCATGATCTCAATCAAAAAGATTATCATTGCTTTTTTTGTCTCTATTTCAGATCTTTTTTGCCAGGCCAATATACTTTGTATTTTGAAAAAATGAATGGAAAATCACTCTTTAATAAGAATACATTTTTATTAAGTTACTCCAGTAAAAGAACACTTAGGGATGACGATATTGAATGATATTAGCTGCTTGAATTAACTGACAGATATTCTTCAAAGTCCATACCATTTACTGTATTTTAAATCACAAAGTAGACGTCAAGCAGTAGTAATACATTCAAGTGAAAATCTTGCGTAATGATACTGTTTGCATCAGATTATATATGATAATTGAGATATAGAGTTACCAGCGCTTTAAAAAGTATAATTTCCCAAAAAAATGTGTGTGTCTAAATAAAAAGTATTAAAATTTGGTTGAGCGCCTGGTGCGAGACCGATAGGTCCTGGGTTCGAATCCCGCGGGGTGCGGGATCGTGGATGCCTACTTCTGAGGAATCCCATACTAGGACGAAACGGCCATCCAGTGCTTCCAGGCCTTCCATAATGGTCTAGCTTCATTTGACTCATGATTTCAGCAAGTGGTATTAAAAGTGTTGAACATAAGGTACAAATGTATTTACTCTTTATTACACCACACCGACTGCAGCTATTCTAAGGTTACTGCCGGTCCAAAGCTAGGGTAAAAAGGAGAGGGTTGGGAGTAAAATCAGCAACTCTATCCTGTAAAAGAGAACTTTGCCAAAAAATATACTAGTCAGTAAACGTCTTTATCATATAAAGAACTGACATAACTGAACATCTTTATTCATCAATATGCTAATTTACTACCACATAAATCTTTTTGATTGACTATCCGAAAGAAAAAAAATTACAAGTGTAGGCTAACAATAGAAAACGAGTTTTCCTTTCAATCTATTTAGTATCTTTCTTTAATTAGCTACTTACACGATTTCATCTTCAGCCAAGAAAGCAGCTGATTATTATAAAATTGTGTAGGACTTTACAAATTTTTGTACTTTTTCTTCATGTATCCTGATAATAGAGTATCGTATAGTTTAAGTACCGTTTTATTTAGTTTTAAGTTCTGTGAATTTTATATTAAAGTGAAGAAACTCTAATAAACCGACTGATGTATTACCGGCTAAATGACTCATAAAAGAATGTTTACATAAGGTTTGCGCATTACTACGTCATTATATACACATTTTTTTCTTAAAATAACCAACTCATTTTAGAAGTAAAGATGGATAGTGGCTAGCAGTGGAATTCAATACGCGCGTTTCGTCCTATTTAGGAGTCGTCAGCTGGGTGTACCTGCATCTCAAAGTTGATGTTCACTACGGGACTCGAACCCAGTACCATTCGCTTCAAACGCCATCGCGTTAACCACTTAGCTACTGATCCCATTGAGATTTAAAACTGCAATTGATCAGTTTGTTATTGGCATATGTGCTTTGCTTATAAAAGCTTGTGAATTGAGGCAATATCGAGGCATATACACAGTATGTACTATGATGATTAGGAGTACTTGGATTATAGTACGAACTAAGAATCCCAGAAATAACGTAATCCGATCAAGAAGTACTAGATAAGCAAGAACGAATGTACTGTATTTGGAATTCGAAATCAAGCATTAAACAAGTACAAAGGAATCATTAGTTCATTCAAACACCACATGCACATCTACCAATAGTAGAGTGATCAATTGCAGTCTTAAACCTCAATGGGAAGATACAAGTAAAACAATACCAAGTGAATTCAACTCATTTTAGTACTAGAGTTTTAAGAATTATTTTTCAGGTAACTGTGTGATAATAAAGTTTCTTTAATGATTACCAAAAGACATTACGAAACTTAAAGGATAATGAAAACTATCAATACTCTTTGACCTGATAATGATTTTTGGTGTAATTTTAGTCACGAAGACATTATGGGTCAAAATTCTTGATTAATTGCTGAGGAAAATATCTGACTATAGTATGATACAGAAATTAAGAGGCAAGTTTTTACATGAATGCGTTGAAGCCTGTAAATTAGAAGAAGACAAACAAAGATTAGGTGTTTGTGTCATTGACTATATTCCACAAAAGATTAGGCAGCATTTTTTCTCAGCAGTACTATCATTTATCATTTATTCAACAGTGTACATGATGTTGATATTTAAAAAATCATTCAATATTTTTCAGTAAACAATGAATTTCAAATTGATTATACTTTGCCAAAAGCGTTCCAATAAAGGGATTGGTTGAAGTTAAACATTAACAACGTTGAACGCCGGTCGGTTCAATGATCCAGAGGTTAAGTGTTTGCGCGCAAGACTGAAGGCCCTGGGTTCGAACCCCACGAGCGGGATTTTGGATACGCACTACTGAGAAGCCCCATAATAGGACAAAACGTCCGTCTAGCACTTTCAGGTTTTCAATAGTGATCTAACATCAATCGGTTCATAAACTCAATCAAAAACATAATAATCTTCACGACCCTATACTGGAAATGAATGTAAACTGAATTTATATTATTGAAAAGATGTAATTTAAAATCATTTTACCTTGATAGTTTCATTGTCATTTATGTTCATCACATGAAATTTACCTTGTTTAATGACCTTAATTATAATTTCCAATTTTTTTTTTCAAATTTTGTGTTCTAACTCTAATCAATTACATTTCTGTTGCCATTCAACTATCTGTTTTATTATATTCATATATTTAACTTGTAGAATTAATAAACATATTATTAATACTTTCTAATCTTTATGAATGATGTTTCGAATAGTATATTGATTTTTAATGATAAGTCAGTCAGTCAGCTACAACGTAGGACCAGGAACATATACATATGTGCATCGGTCGAAGTTGCCATACCTCATAAGTACAACAAGATGAACATCAAATTCATAGAAGTAGTTAATTCAGTGATGGTAATATATAAAAGAAAGATTGCATATAAGAATATAGTATAGGAAGAAAGAATTAGTTGATAAAAAGATATGAAACGATTCTAATCTCATAGTTTAAAGGAAGACAAAGAGTGTATACACCGATGCCATTGTGATGGATTCTGAGCCATGTCACTCAGAGTATCCAACCATTGGTTATGATAGTCTGTATCTACCTACATGGTTCAGACTAGAAGTAAGTGACTTCAGGCACTGATACCACCTTTTGGTTTGGCCGCCCCTAACTTTCTCCCAACTGTCTCCAACACTAGTCAGCAATGCGTGTCGTCGTAATCGGTGTTCAGGCATACGCAACACGTTGCCCAACCGTTTAGTCGATGTAGATTCACAACCTCATCAACTGATTTACCATCACCCATAGAATAAATCAACATATATTACTCTGTTATCTTTATTTTTCTCCTTTTAACCAACAAAAAAGGGAAACTAATTGTACGATAATTAAGTGTTCGATAGTTGATAGCTCTGGGTTCGAGTCCCGGAGTGAATATCAACTTTGGGATGCAGGTATATCCAGTTGACGAGTCCCGAACAGGATGAAATACATGTACTGGATTCCATTACTAGCCATCATTTATCTTTGCTTATAATATTCTTATATACACTTAAATACTTACTGTGTGTATCAAACAATTGTAAAATCTCTTAACTTTAATCTCAGTGTTAGTCAATAAGAATAGTACATTTGATTTGATGTGAGATATTGCTGCAAGATTTATAGAATGTCTTAGTTCTATTGAATTCTTCAATAGAAGGCTTTCAATAGTGTTTTGTACCACATTTTCATATTAATATCTCAGTAACATTAACAAAGAAAGTCTTCTGATAGAAAAATTGATTAGTTAGTGATGCCATCATAGACTTTACTGGAAGAAGAATATAAACAATCATTTACTTCATATATTTTGATCATAAAAATTTGATCCTATCCAGAGATTTCATAGAGCGCACATGTAATTCATTGTATAGTGAATTTGTACATTGGAAACTAAAAGAACATTTATGTTATTCCCCTAAAACAATATGGTTTTTAAAAAGGTCAAATAAACTTGGTTAGAATACAAAAAACAACAATAACAACTTTACTTCCAGCTGTTTATTCTTTAAAAGAACATTATTTGTTAAAAATTAATAATAGGATAGCCTTAATCTGGTTGTTAAGCAACATCAGTACACAATAGGTTTTTTTAAAGTTACCACTTGATATTTCATAATGATAATAAAATACTTAAAATAATTTAAAGAGGAAAAACAAAAAAACCTGATCTTCTCATTTTATTTTTTTGATTGAGATCATGAATCGGTTGATGTTAGACCACCGCTGGAAACCTGGAAGCACTGGACGGCTGTGTCGTCCTATTTTTGGACCCCTGAGCAGTGTGCATCCACAATCTCACTCGCGCGATTCGAACCTAGGGCCTCCAGTCTCAAGCGCGAACGCTTAACCTACTGGATCACTGAGTCGGCATCCAGTGGTGTTAGTGTCTAACATCAACCAATTCACGAAATTGCGTGACCCAAAATAGGACGAAACGGCTATCCAGTGCTTCCAGGTTTCCAACGGTGATCTAACATCAATCGGTTCATGATCTCAATCAAAAACTTTATAATCTCCACCACTCCTAAACTGATGCTTATAATATTAACTAATTTCAACATTAATTTCTATGTTCAAAAGAGAAATAGACAAACGATGATAAGATTTAAGATGATTATGACTGATTGTTTTAATTTTGATTTTTATAATAAAAGAAATGAGAAAAAAACACAACAAACTTAGAGCGGTAATGAATAAGATATTTTGTATGATGTATCCGACGGAGATTCATTTTAATACATAATAATAGTTGCCATAGCTACAATACCTGAATGATCAAGTTTTAATGTTTTATAGATCATAAAAACATGTAATATTGATGAACAATTTAATTTGATTATCCTTTGTTTGTTTGTTTTGCTTTTGAAAGCGAAAATCACCTATTTAGTTTTTATAGTTTGATTGAATCAAAAGAGAAGAAAATGTTTTATGTGGTTCAATGGCAGTACTTTTTAAAAATATAAATTAACTGTTTTTTTAACTAGTTAATTTAGATAAGTTTGATTAATATTGTTCTGTAAGGTCTTCATGAAATATCCCATAAGATGGTGACTGGAGCTAGTTAACAGGATACGATGGACCCGGGTTTCGTGCTATTTGGCAGTCGTCATGAAGATGTACCAGTAATATTGAGAGAACTGATTCTCCCTGACGGATTCAATCCCGTGTCACTCAGCTTCAAAATCCAGGCCTCAAAAGATCTCTTGTACGACCGAGATGTATTCACAATTGATTGATCACTCGGTGGTGATTACAGGTACACCTTGCTGATGAGTGACAAATGGCACGAAACCCGAGGCCAGGGTATCCTGTTGAATACCTCCAACTACCATCTTATCTCAACATAGTGTATGCTGTGTCGAGTCACCTAGACTAGTGGCCACATTGTAACTTGGTCGATAGTATTCTTTCTGTACTAAGAAGGACCTGACACACATGACATTGATCACCACCTAGTGATCAATCAATTGTAGACATATCTCATAAAATGATGATTTCTTTAAATGAAAAATACATAAATATAAGCTTAATGTTATTACAGTAATTTATTCTTTAATGAAACTAGAATGGATTGAAAGAATCCGGCGTATTTAAGTTATCACAACGAATTTTAGTATAAAATAACAATCTAATCCTATTTAGCGTCTGTTAGTTGATCTATACTTTGTATAAAGTATTTTAGTGGAGCCATACATTTAGACTTCAATTAGATCGGACGATGTTGTCGATAGGCTCACCACTTTTGTGGCCCTATATCTGACTCCAATTGGATCGTACTCTGATTGTCACCGAAATACACATTTTGGCTATCCTCGTATATAATCATCGACTTAACTCGTGTTAGTGTATAATGGGATTAAAATAAGGCGAGTACGAGAATAGATTTTTGAATACATATATATTGTACACTCATTGATTTGAGCAGGCAATTAGAGGGACGAAGCAAAGAGAAGAGAGCGAAACGATACGGCACGCAGTGGAGAAAGTGTGTGAAGCAACTCCCCTTTTATCAAGCGTTAATGAATATTTATAGTCACACAAAAATAAGCTACAGACATGTGATGAGTAGTATAAGATGTACACACAAATACGCTCATATAAAAGCAGTTAACTTCGATAAACGAATAGTTAACATGGTCAAAATGTGACTCAAGAAGAATGGCTTAACACAGCAACCGACACTACAGTATGATCATGAATCCAGATACTATCAAACATGTCTAAAAATTAATCAGTCATTTCTAATTTCGTAGAAGTTTTTGTTTTATTCAATGAAATTGATCTTGAGTTTTGCTTTTGTTTTTTTTATTTGCTTGTAATTCATAATAAACGTATTCTCTACATAAAGAGTGACTTTTTGACATTTATATTGGAATAGTTGAAATCATGAGTCAATTTAAGTTAGACCACTATGGAAAACCTGGTAGCACTGGACGGGTGTTTCGTCCTAGTGTGGGACTCCTCAGCGGTGTGCATCCATGATCTATCTAATTATAGAATCTAAACATAATTTTCAATATAATAGTGAATGGAATAACTTAGTAAATACATTATCATCCTTCTTATTTTCTTTTTCCAATGACATAGAACAATGTTATATATGGTGAGCAATTTACAGAAACATTTTATTGATGAATTATTCAAAATTTTACTAGATCCAATTCACTGAATGTCTCTCTAATTTATGGACGAGCCAATCAGAAGCATTTGAGAGATTTCAAGGTCACGGCACCAACTTCAGTATTCAATGCTAAAGTACGATCGGTTAACAGGGAATTTTGTACAAAACGTGATAATTGAGTGGCTATAACAAATAAAATGGTGAGACTATAATTTGTGGACGAATCAATCAGGTATGAGATAACAGATCTCGGATTTTGGCGCAAAAACCTTTCATCCATTTGCCTAAATAGATTTCTGACATTATATCTGATGTCAATTCGTGATGAAAACCCTGTATATAATTTCTAACTAAGACAACTTACGACAATTATTGCGAAGTGGATAATAAAAGCACCGGTAACACTGGCTGCAGTCAGGTACTACAGTATATACGGATGATTGGAGGGCGAACATACTTCTACATAGGTTTGGTTATGTGCATCGTGTCATTTCCTCTACCGTATGCATTACGAGTTTAGAACCTCTGAACCTCTTTCTAACCTTGACAGGTTTTTGAACCACGTATAAGAAGTGCATCCAGTTTAATTCTTTGGTTTTGTATAACATATTTTTACTCTATACTTTCTATTTGCTGATTGGCCAGTACTTCTCAAGGTCGCTTAAGATTCGTTCGGAGGTCGTCCATAAATTAGAGTCTCGCCAAAAAACAAAGAATAATTAATTTCATTAACTTACCAGTAAACCACTTTCATCTGAACCATGATATACTACGCCTAAATCACGACATGTTTCCACAAATGCTTTTTCATCAGGAGATGAAGCCTAGAAAAAAGAATGCATTTTTTTAAAGAAAGAATACTTTTAGTTCTATAACATAAGTAATAACAATAAAGCTTAATATCTAAAAACATTTGGAAAAAAACAATGTTCAGAGAGAATAACAAACATTTTAAGTAGAACTGATTGGTAGATGATGGTAAGATCTAGGACGTAAGTTTCTTTCTCTTTGTGAGTGATTGACCAGATCTCAGAATTAATGTTCATTCTGGGATTTACACCCAGTATCGTTCATTTTGAATGCTGAAGTATTATACGCTTAACTCTTGAGTCTGAGTAGCCACTGATTTGTACGAAGGGATAAGTTTTAATTCCATTGTATTGGTTGTTTGAATTTTCCTATTGGTGTTTAAGACTGAAATCAATCAGTTTGTTGAGGTGTGTTCATTCTGACAGAATAAAATGCGTGTCCTGGACTTTATTGCTAGCCACCATTCAACTCGACTTATTGTGCTTGTAACTTAATAACAATGTGTGAGGCAATCTGCATAGGATGTACATATGTCAAAAGAGACTGATCTATTGCAATCATATACACAAAAGAGAAGATTCAAACAACCAATATAAAAGAAGCAGAAAAAATACAAATTATCTTTGATAAGCAAAGTTTAATTATAGAATCAGAAGTTCAGTTTGTTAGTTTATCTGAATCAGTATAATTTGTGTTCAGAACATCCTAAACAAATTATCTTATTACAATTGTATACAGCCATACAGTTAAAACTAAAGGTTTCTATAAGACTTACTGGTGAATATCTCAATTACACAGTTCCTTATATTTAGCACCACTGTATATTCTAATGCTCAATAAAGCTATGATATAAGGTAATCGTAGGCAATTAACAAGTGGCCCCTGACCTAGATTTCTCTCATTTGTTACTCATCAGTTTGGAAAATCAGTATTTTGCAAGGAACCACTGATTTCTGTTTGTTTCGAACCCATATTATTCAATCTCACAATCAAAGACGTTATTAGTATTATGTAGTTTACGTTGTATCAGAATTCTTGAAGAAATTAGTTATTCAAAATGACCACAAAGTAGTAACTAATACGAAATCTAGGTACGGAGCATTATGTCACCTAGCATTGAATCAAATTCACCAAATGTAAAATGACGATCACATAGCAACTTGGTCAATAAAATTTGATCGTCATAAGAAAAAAATAAACGTAACAGTGTTTATAATTAATTGATCTAAACAAGATCTATACGTCATTGAAATTGTTGATTCAGATGTTATAACAATTCTTTTAGGGTTAGTAATATATTTTATTTGCATTTGACCATAGTATTGATTGTGGTCTGAATAATCATTCTATAACATTAGATAATTTGAATCAGATATAAGTACGGAAGGTATATACTCTTGATGTTCAGCTGTCTTAAATCTACGATTATTTTCTACTTTTTTTTGTTCCATTCAGTCATTGCGGAACAAAGAATTTTTTTGTTTGAATATTAAGCTAAGAACGTGATCAAGTCAACTGAAGAGAATATCCTTATTGGCGCTAATGCATATTATGAGGGAAATGTTTCTTCTTATATCTAAATTATTGAACTTTTCTGATTGTATTAGTTACTTGCAATAGATCTAACATTTCCAATCTGACCTAAGTGTAAACATTTATTATGTAGTTCCATAATTTGTTTTATTGTAGTTATTGGCAACTAAAAGATTACCTCTTCTACTCAAGATTACTACATTTTTTGTGACTACCTTCGAGATGAATTTCCTGGAATTTTAGTAAGAAGACGTGACCAGTAAAATCCAATCCATGTCGGGTGGAGACATTGACACTATTGGATGCTGGCTCAATGATCTAAAGGTTCGCGAGCGAAGACCAAATATCCTTGGTTCAAATCCCGCGTGTGGGATCGTGGATGCACATTGCTGAGGAGTCCCATATTAAGAGAAAACGGTGTCTAGTGCTTTAAGGTTTTCAATGGTGGTCTAGCTTAGATTGACTTATGAAGTCAACTATTAAATTTACTACAATCTCCAAAAACCCCCATTCTGATTATAATGAATCCCATTTATTTTGTTTAAATTTATCTTGTTGTATGTAATGTAATAGTTCCTTCAATAAAAAGGCACCTATACGCACAACAATTTTTAAAACCAAACAGAAAATTACGGATGTTTTACTCATTGAAATAAAAGTGTGAATATTTCCTTATCGTACTGATTATTTTTACTGAATTATAATAATAACTAGGTATTCACTAAGTTACAGTCATGATGCTATATTTTGTATTAACACTCGATTGAAGTCGATGATTATATGCGAGGATTAGAGACATGTATAGGGCCAATCATATGATCTAAATGGAGTCAGATATAGGGCCACAAAAGAATAACGGAACTAAATACGAAAATTGGCGTTATGTATATTTCAATAACAATCATCCACACAACCCAAAGTCAGTCAGATTAAGGGCCACTAAAACACTTATATTCTTTTTTGTGAATAGTTTACTGACATATTATTTACATTTGTATGGTACAATAACTTACCGATAAAAAGTAAATAATAGACCGGATTTGTAATGTGCTGAACACATGATACAATATTGTCTACATAAGCACAGTCATTTATAAATAAACGACTAAATGTTACAACTTATCAAAATACATTTCAAAATTTTGATGGAGTTTTACTAGAAGTTTGTGCTGATGACGTCGTTCAAAAGAACAATGAAAGTTCCACAACCAAACCATCTAGCTCAAAGAACAAAATTCCATCAAAATTATCCACTTAAGCTACAAATCTTCTCTACCATCACATTTCAAAACATAGAATAAATTGATTGAATAAAAAATGATACCCTAATATAAAATATGAATACAGGAATTGAAGAGAGAGGTTGATTATGAATACAGTGGTCTTGAGTGCTGTTAGAGGTATGAGGGCAGTTATCACTTCCCGGTTGCCCACACCGTGGAAAGGTTCTTCCATAGGTACCTGAAAAAGAAATTGGATTAGAGTTGGTCTTAGTGACCTGAGACCGTGACCGCAGTGCCCAAGGGACAACTACTTGAGGTCGCTCACACATGACCTTTTTGTGAGTAATTTTCGTGTTAGCTCCGTACTTGTTGAGACTTTACCGCTGGAGACGGATAAGGCGAGGTGTCTATTTTTAGGGTTGACCTTTTCTAACCCTACCCCTCCTTGTTGGAAGGCAGCATCGCTGTCATGCTGGTTGTCTGAAAGAAACACCTTACTGCTATCACACCTCTGTACAGTCAGCAGTACGACTTCGCCTTCGGACCTTGGGTTTGTTGCTTTTAGTCTTACCGCTCTTCAACCGACCTGTCTGACATGGTAGGACCTTGAGGAACGGTTGTTCCAGCCAGTATAGGTCGGTTGCTTCATCAGGATAGGCGAGCCCGACCATCACGTCAAGGTAGCAACAACGGTCGGGAGTATAAAATATAATTGATTAGAACATTGATTTTATTATCAGTAATGATTATCTAATCAATCAGTTATGTTTATTTTATTTTATCTATGGATTATTATCTAATATTCTGTGTGAGTTGGAGAATGCTGGTCGGCGGCCTATGCTCCACTGGGAGTAACAGGCTTAAGCATGTATTCTTTGTTATTTAAATTAGGTATCAAATCTAGGAATTTATACTTATAAATGCCTATGTAAGATAGAATGAATTGATAATAAATATATGTATTTTCTTTTTTTTTGCTTTATCCCAATGAGTAGTAAAATTGTATTTCTGACATTTCGTGACTTAATATAGACTACCTCTTCAGAGTAAAATAAATAACCGATATTAAATGAACGCAAGTTTAAATAGTACAAAAAAGGAACACTATGGAATATTTTTAGTACAACCAAAGTCATAATAGGTCTGGATAAGTCTATCTCAAGTTATTCTTGATTATGGTGAATTTGTATGATCTGCAATAATTTGTGCATCGCAATGTGGGTATGGAAAAGTATGCATTTGTAATATGTAGTAGTGAGCTTGTAATAAGGTATGTGTGTTTATATATAAATTTTGTGGAAAATAAGTAATGTCAAATGTCTTTGTTTGAATAAATAGTTCAGGTTGGATGAATATACAGACCTCCTTTCTAATTAAGAGCAGAAGGGTTTAGTATCACGTGGAACGCATCGGCTACACTCATCTCTTTAAATCCCCTCTAAATTATTTTGATATGGTGCTAAGAGAGAGAGAGAGAGAGAAATGATAAATCTAATTTTTTTTAATAGTTGAAATCACGATTCGATCTAAGTTGAACCACCATTTTAAACCTGGAAGCACTGGACAGTCATTTCATCCTAGCATGAAACTCAGCAGTGTGCATTCACGATCCTACATGTAAAACTAGAATTCGGAACCTTCAGTTTCAGCAAAGTTAATCAAATAATTTATATTAGAACAACAGAAAATTCAGCGTAAGTTTGTAATTCATGCAAATAGGATGATGTATCAACTTGAACAAAACAAAATATGATGAAATGGTTTAAGTGTTTACAGTGTAATTGTAGTAATGACGATAATATTGCATTCGAAGGGATTGATAATTTTAAAATAGAGGAAGAGTAAGTAGAATGAGTGAATGGGTGAAAAGTTGTATGACAAATAAAATTTTATTACCAATTATGCCATGATGCAAAAGACGACGGAAATGGATAGGACATACATCACGGAAATCATTAAACTGCTTCACGAGACAAGCCCTAATTTGGAATCCTGAAGGTGAACGAAAAAGAGGAAGGTCAAAGAACACATTACGTCGGTAAATAGAAGCAGATATGAAAATGATGAATAACAACTGAAAAGAGCTAGAAAGGATTGTTCAGGACAGCGTTGAGTGGAGAGTGCTGATGGGTGGCTCATGCTCCTCCACGAGGAGTAACAGGAGTAAGTAAAGTAAGTAATGTCACGATGTAAATTTTTTATTTATTGATTCGAAATAATTAAAACTACAGAGAAAATGAAACAACAGAATAATGAAG